CCATGTTGCTGTAATACACGCAGAATGCAGTTTGGCATTGTCTTGCTGAAATATACAAGACTGTCTCTGAGAAAGACATTGTCTGGATGACAGCATATGTTGCTCCAAAAACCATATTAAAAAAAAATATAAATATACATATATATATATATATATATATTATATACATATATACACACACACACACACACACATCAGGGTTCTTCTAATCTGTACCTCAATTCCAAAACCAGGCCTTGTTTTTAGTTCTCCTAGGTACTTAGTTTAATAATTACTGATTCTGATTGGTCAGAGGCTTCACACCTGACTGACAGGTAAAGGAAGGCTGGAAAACCTGCAATGCTCAGACCTCGAGGACCGTGATTTGAATAACCCTGATATATGTCATTCAGCTCAGGCCCAACGAGCTCAGGCCTAGAGAAGTCAGCGGCATTTCTGGATCATGTTCTGATATGGTTTCTTCTTTGCATGCTAGAGATTTATCCTGAATTTGGGATGTGTTCACAAACAATGGTTTTCAGAAGTGTTCCTGAGCACATGCAGTGATTTTTACTATAGAAACTTTACTGTTTTTAATGTAGCGCTGCCTGAGGACCCAAATATCATGGCTATCCAATACTTGGTGTCGGCCTTGTCCCTTGCTTAAAGAGATTTCTCTGGATTCTCAGAATCTTTTAATATTGTGTACAATAGATGATGAAATACCCAAATTCTTTGCAATATTAAATTGAGAAACATTATTCTTAAACTGCTGCTCTATTTGCCATGAGTGGTGAACCTCTCATCTACATGCACAGAGACTCTGCATCTCTGGGGGGCTCTTTTTATACCCAATCATCTTACTGACCCTGCTGCCAACTAACCCAAGTTGTGAGAAATTTAACCAGGTATTTCATTTTAGAATTACTCAACTTTTTCAGTCTTTTGTTGCCCCTTTCCCAACCTTCTTAAAATGTATTCCTGGCACTGAATTCGATTTGAACATACATTTGTCATAAAATAATACATTTTCTCAGTTTCAACATTTGATATGTTGTCTGTTAAATATGGGCTTAAATGATTTACAAAATACTGCATTCTGTTATTTACACATTAGACAGCATCGCAATAAATGGGGTTGTATTAGTGAAAATAATTGATCAAGTTTTAAGAAATCTGCAAAATGTTTACTGAGCTGTATGCCTCTCAGAACTGTGAACTTTGAAAACACCCCAGTACCCTAAAAGTCCCAAAGGAACAGACGTGTCCTAATATTATTGGAGACAAAAGGGCTACACTAAGGAAAAGACACATACACTCTCCCGACTGGAAGGTGAGCACACAAATCAGAGGGCCCGTAATAAGATGCAAGCAGTTAAGGGGTCGTTTCCAGTTGCGGTCTTCCTTGTCTGGGTCCACAACAGGCACAGACAGCAACAGAATCACTTCTATTGGCACCTAGTGGAGGGAATGGTAAATGGTAAATGGATTGCATTTATATAGCACTTTTGTACTCCTACACACACTCAAAGCTCTTCACAATTCATGCCTCACATTCACCCATCCACACACACATTCATACACCAGTGGTGGAGGCTGCCGTGTAAGGTGTCAACCTGCTCACTGGGAGCAAATTGGGGTTCAGTGTCTTGCTCAAGGACACTTTGATGGGGTCAGGAGGCTTGAACCTGCAACCCTCCAGTTGCCAAACGATAGCACTACCTCCTGCGCCACCATCGCCCCATGGAAGGGAAGAGAGGTGTTGTTAATCACCATTAGAACACAGTGTCATTTAATTCTCGAATCTCAACATAAAGCACCATAATCACTTAATGTAACTACCCACCTTTATCACCTTAAAGGCTCTCCAGTACCAGGGCTTTCTCCTCCACTTTCTGATGTCTACTGGGTTAAGGGATTTGAGGAAAATTTGGCTAGTGGATTCCGTGCAAGTAAGCAGGGGCTGGTACTCTGAAATTTAAAGTCTCCAATAAGTTCCATCAGGCCAATAAGTGTTCCCGTGCAAGGAGTTAAAATAACGGTCAATTCTATAGCACAAAGTACATGTACACACACATAGTAGCAGAGTGTGGCTTAGTGGGTTACACCTCTGTGTCTGTGATAAGGTTGACGTTTTGAGCCCTGGCCTTGGCAGAATAGTCACATTTCCATTTGGCCTTTCAGCAAGGCCCTTAACCAAACCCCAAAATGCTCCAGGGGCTCTGGATAAGTGGCCTGACCCTGCACTCAGACTCTGAGCTTCGCTCTCACCTGTATAGGCCTGTGTGTGAATGCGTGTCCCTCAAAAAAAAGCAGGATGGGATATGTGAAGAGAAGCATTCCAATGTACTTGTACTTGTGCAAATGGCAAATAAAGGATTTTTCCATTTTTTTTCCATTTCAATCTGTGCCACACAGTTCACTACTGTGTGATATTACAAAGTAACTCAAGGTGAGTGGTTCAAGCCCATTTCACATTCCACACACTGACACACATCAAAAACTGCAGCACACATATTACACATGGATTCATGCAGTAACACTATCAAAAACTAGCAAAACCACCATGCGTACCATAGTCCTGAATACCAGAGTTTGGCAGGGATGAGCTCTCATCAGTGTCAGACTGCAGATCTGCAGAAATAAAAACCACACCAATAACAGTATTAACCTATAGCTATCAGCAAGCAAACCTTCAGAGTAAAAGGCAAAAACCCATTGTGCTATGCATTATGACAAACAAAACTGCTGTTATTTTGAAGAAAAGGCGTTTCCACTAAATTCAGAGGTGTATATCATTAGATAGCTAATAAAAATCTATTTCAGCTTAAATGTCAGCAAAATCAAAGTTTCGAACGATCACAATTACTTGATTAAACTGGATTACTCGATTAATAAAAAGCATCTATTAAAATGTTCCTTTTCGATATACTCTGCAATATGGCAGAAGGAAGACTATGCATAGAGGGTAAGGGTACAATTTGTGTGGAAGAACTTCCCACTAAAAGTGAATGAAAATGCAGTCGTCTGTCAGTATTGCAAAGCAGAACTTCAATATCAGCACAGCATGATTGCAAATGGTAAATGGACTGCATTTATATAGCACTTCTCTACTCCTACGAGTACTCAAAGCGCTTTACAATTTATGCCTCACATTCACCCATCCACACACCAGTGGTGGAGGCTGCCATGCAAGGCACCAACCTGCACACCAGGGGCAATTTGGGGTTCATTGTCTTGCTCAAGGACACTTTGATGGGGTCAGGAAGAACTAGGGCTTGAACCTGCAACCCTCCAGTTGCCGAATGATAGCACTACCTCCTGTACCACCATCTTCCCCAAAGTAAAAATACATCTTAAAAAGGTTTGATGGACTAATCCGATAATGCCAGTCTAAGGAAAAGTAGTAAAGATGCCCCAATTTTCTAGGTTGATCATTTGGATACAGACAGTGTTAGCAATTTATGATCATGGGGGAAGCCAGAGAGAATGGGGGTTCCAGTCGGCACCACTAGGGTGATAAGGAAGATAACTGAATTACAATGATCATAAAAGTCTCCACCCTGTCCTGCCCCATCCCTGCTCCAGGCTCCCCACCGGCCAGGGGGGCACTCTTTATATGTAAATTCATTCACAACACCTAAACACAGCACCTTGGCGGGGAGGGTCTTTTGGGGTATAAAGGGGGGTGAAGAACTGCCCTTAATTTGTATTTGAGCTGCCTTTCAATACCCGGTGTATGTCTACACTGTATTACATTATATTATTTTTTACTGTTCAATAAACCACCGTTTTGCTGAAACTGCGGAGACTCTGCAAGTGGATTCCTTACACCAGGTTAGCCATAAATGTGTGCCATTTAGCCAAAATAAGTTAAATTATTTTGCTTAATTTATTTTCTATGACTTCTGTACGATTTAGAAAATATTTTTCTGACAAAGGTTAACTCCATCACTTAGTTGCATTCTTATGTGTAATATAATACAGTACATAATAATCATACAATATATATCTTTAAAAAACATAGACGCTCCATTACTTACAAACTTTCAACTTACGAACTTTCAGACATACGAACGAAGAGGACTAAGTCCAAATTGTGTTCATTGGGCTCCCATTTCCTGTCTGCAACACCAATTTTTTTTTTCTGTGCGCCAATTCCGACTAGTACGACTTCTGGCTACTACTCCCGCTGCACAGCAGCTTGCATACTCCCAGCATCGTAGTTCTTTGTACTTGCGTATACCGTTAAAATTATGTTGAATAATGACTTACGAACGGCCATTCAGAATGCATTTCATTCGTAAGTAGAGGAGCATCTGTATTGAGTGTTTTCAGTAGGGCTGAACATTACTGGAAAGAAATTCACATTGTGATGTTTAAAATTATTGCAATAATTAGATAAAAAGCAGTGTTCACAGAGTACTTGCTTTTGCTCAATATCGTCTCTATGAAATACAAAATATTCCCATACATCTCAAGATTAGTGTCTTTTTATGACCAGTTCTTGTTTGCTTTTCTCCTGTTCACTTATTTTTGATTACTCACAAACGCACCACATGATCTACCTGTATGAGTAAACGAAACAGTAAGGACAAAAATGATTATGATTGTCTTGGAGAGCGCATGCAGATCTCATGCAAAGGCAGCAGCAGTAAACTTAAGACTTGTTTTTTATACACATAATAGATAATGTTAAAAAGGAACTATCAAAGTTGCAGAACTTGGTAAGCAAGTCCTCCTGCATCTGAGTAAAAATGTTTGAGCGCAACTTATTGATGGTTTGAACTCAGCAGACCATCACAGTCTTTGCGATGTGACAATTGCGGGTTCATGAGATGCCATGTCGATATTAACATCACACATTATGCTAGCTTGTCAGGGTGGCACAGTGACACAGTGGTTAGTGGTGGTGCCACACACCACCACTTTGTATGCGTGGAGTTTGCATGTCCACAGAGTTGGCGGAGATCCATCGCGGGAGCCGTCGGAATGTTAACTATGAGAACACAGAGCCTGTACTTTCCTTCTGGTCCTCTGCTCCTTGCCAGGCTAAGAAGCATCATTTGAGTTGTTGACCATAGCATCTTAGCTGAACTAGCCAAGTCGGCTAATGACAGTCAAGGCAAAAGCAAGGTTGCTATTGGATTATTTAACATCCGATCCCCTTACGAACAAAGGTCCAGTAGTCTGTGATCTACTGCATTATTGTATGAATGACTTTTTGTGTTTGTTCAAGACTTGGCAGCAGCCCGATGACTTCTTCCATCTAAACCAGACCGTACCTGAAGGCTATGTTTATGTGTGCCAGCCCTGTGCTTCCGGTTGAGGGGGCGGGCTCACAATTCTCTACAACGAGCGGCGGAGAGCATCTTTGGTGACTGTGCCGGTACACACATAATTTGAATCCATTGCCCTGAAAATCAATGGACCTACTCCAACTATTCTTGTTACTGTTTACTGACCACCCAGACCCAATAAGGACTTTTTAAATTAATTTTCTGACTTTGTAACGTCAGTGATTTTAATATACAAATGGACAATGTCAATGACTGACTTGCGAGGGATTTTACATCTTGTTTGGACAGTTGTGGGCTACTGGTGTAACACCAATCAACTGCACTGTGTCCGATCTGGCTGTATCTGATCATAAACTAGTGCCTTTTAGTATGACATCTAGATCTAAATTCATACCGTACTATTTCTTTTTGAAACATAAAACATTCATTTATCCAATCTTTCTAGGAGCATTAATAATATAGCGTCTAAACATAATTTATTCACCACTGATCGACTTGTTTTGTACAATAATGTTGAATTACACAGGCTCTTGGAATATCTTGCTCCGCTAAAGACTTGGAATATTTCTTTCACTCATTCTGCCCCTTGGTTCACTCCTGAGCTTCGCCATCTTAAAGCTAAAGGTTGGAGACTGGATCGCATGTTTTCAAGGACCGGTCTTACTATGCATAAAAATATGTACAATGACCATTTGCACATCTCTGTCTACGGCCAAATCTGTTTACTATAGTAATCAAATCAGGTTAAGTGAAGGAAATATTAGAACTCTTTTTCTACTGTGAATAACATTCTCCGGCCACCTGATGTTCTTCCTCCTCACCTATATTCCACAGAACAATGCAACATTCTCATGATGTTCTATAATGCCAAAATTGACAACATCTACCAGACACTGAACACTCCAGCAAATACTCTTCATGGTGCATTAAGCCATGAGTCTAGTCAGCCCTTTTTCTTTTAACTGTCTTCTTTCAAACTTCCAGCTGCTTCAGAAATTTTGGGTCTGATTCAAAAATCAAAATCTTCCACTTGTCAACTTGATCCTTTTCCTACTCCCTCAGTAAAAGCATGTCTGCCCTATCTTATTTCATTAATTACTGATATTGTGCATTCATCCCTTTCTTCTGGCCATGTTCCCTCATCTCTCAAAACAGCTGCTATAACCCCAGTTTAAAAAACTGGTGCAGACCCCAGCAATTTAAATAATTTTCAACCAATTTCAAATTTACCGTTTATATCAAAAATTCTTGAGAAAGTTGTTGTTTCGCAGTTACATGCACATCTTACCGACAACAATTTGTTTGAACAGCTCCAGTCTGCATATCATTCTTTTCACAGCACAGACAGCACTGAATAAATCACAAATGATTTATTAATGGTTGCAGATTCTGGTATGTTAACCATGTTAACTGGTGCTACTTGATTTGAGTGCAGCCTTTGATACAGTCGCACACAGCATCCTGTTAGACAGACTGGAATTTATTGGGACTACGGACACCACCGTTACCTGGTTTAAGTCATACCTCTCTGGTCAGACTCAGTTTGTGCAGCTTAAAAGTTTTAAATCCAAGACTGTCCCCGTCATAAGGAGTGTTCCACAGGGTTCTGTCTTGGGGTCTCATTTATTATTTACCTTTTACCTCTTGGGAACATTTTTAGGAGATTCGGCATACAATTTCATTGTTATGCGGATGACACCCAGCTCTACTTAACCACCAAGCCTAACTTTGCCATTCCTCCCACTTCACTCTTAGATTGTCTGTCAGATATAAAAATTTCCGTCTGCTTCTGGCAAGCTACCTGAGGCTAATGCTGTGTGCACAGAAAACATGATAAGGAAAAAAAAAAAGTTATTCACTTTGTCTCAAAAGCTTATAATAAACTGCCAAAAACAAGCCAACAAGATGCAGCAGCAAAACTACACATAAGTACAATGTCACAGTGGCCCTGCATTCATAGTAGGGTACCGCAGGGTTAAATTTTAGGACCACTATTGTTCCTAATTTACAATAATGATATTGACTCCAATACATACAGTAAACTGGTTACATTTGCAGACAACACCAAAGTGGGTGGTGTAACAGATACTGAACTAGCAGCAGAGAGGCTACAATGGGATCTTTATTTAACTAGCGACTGGGCTTATACCTGGCAGATGAAATTTTATGTAGGTAATCGATGCAGGGAGCAGAAATATAAAAGTGCAGTGAGGGTTCCACTGAAATAAAGGTAGCTGATTATGAGAAAGACCTCGGTGTGTATGTTGATGTTTCCATGTGCCACTCTCATCAGTGTGGGGAAGCAATTAAAATGGCCAATGGGATGTTGGGTTACATCTCTAGGTGTGTGAAGTTTATGTCAAGTGAGGTGATACTAAGATTATACAATTTCGTGAATATTATGTGCAGGTTTGGTCACCATACCTTAAAAGGACATTCCTGCCTTGGAAAGGGTGCGACATAGGGCTACAAGAATGATTCCTGGTCTTAGAGGAATGTCTTATGAGGAGAGGTTAGCTGAGCTGAATCTGTTTAGCCTCAAGCAAAGGAGACTAAGGGGGAACATGATCCAGGTATATACGATTTAACAGGTGTGGATGCTGTTCAGCCAACTGGTTATTTCAATATTAGTTTAAATACTAGAACTCATGGCCATAAGTGGAAATTAGCGGGAAAACATTTTAAAACGAATCTGAGGAAGCACTTCTTTACACAGTGTGTAGTTAGAGTATGGAATAGTCTTCCTGCTAGCGTAGCGGAAGCTAAAACCCTGGGTTTCTTTAAATCAGAGCTAGATAAGATTTTAACAACTCTGAGCTATTAGTTAAGTTCTCCACAAACGAGCTTGATGGGCCGAATGGCCTCCTCTCCTTTGTAAACTTCTTACGTTCTTATGTACAATAAGCTATATTTTAGATATAGTACTGCACTGTTTTTGTATTTGAATTATACACAGTTCAGTTATTTGTACAGTACTGTAATTTGAAAACCATTTTGAAACAGCTGTACTGTATTTTGAAAGTCAAAAAATTCAGTAAATAGTGATATCCTCTTATATTCACGCAATAAATATACACGTCAGTTAGAAGGTAATCTGCCAGAGACAAAGAATGAGAAAAAAAAATCTGTTATAATGATCATCTGGTTATACTGATCAATTTCACTCAGACAGATGTGATCACTACAAGTGGTTTTCACTGTATAATATAAGGCAGTCCCCAAGTTATTAATGCTTGACTTACGGGTAATTCGTACTCATGAACAGACGACAATAAAGCTTGCTATATTAAAAATTCGAGTTAAATGAAATGGTTCATAATAATGAATGCACACAGTACTTTGTGAAGCTCTGGAAAACATTGCATGGCTTGAAGTACAGTATGGTATTTACTATATTGTTATATATATTTATATGACATATGACGGCCCCAATAAAATTTTCATCTTTGGATGTTTTTTTTTTTAAATTTTCTAATTTTTCTAATTTTTTAATCTTTTGAAAAGGCATGTGAAACAGCAAACCGACATTAATAGTTTTACAGACTATTCCATATTTAAAACACATCCTACTTCCTGTAGTACAAAGAGCATGTTAAATGTTTTGGTAGCTAAATATTAACTAGTGCACATGATAAATGACAGCACATCAATCCAGTGAATTTGTACAAGTCAGACTTAACACATCTAAAGAAACTTATTTTACATGCCTAACAGTGTACATACGCATACCTGGGACATGGTTAGAGCCATTCTGTAATGGTCCGTTGATGAAGTGTTTCTGTCGGTTATAGATGTAAGCACTGATGATAACTGTCAGAACGTATCCCACATACAAGCACAAGTAACCTGCAGGAAAGAAGCAGCTCATTACTTAACTGTGTTTGGTAAAGAGAAAAATTTGAAAAGTTAAAACTACACTACCAGTTCAAAGTTTGAGTACAGCTACTTAAAACCATAACTATGTATGCTTTAAACTGGATATCTACTAACAATAGTGGATGTTGTGCAGATTGTGGCTGATGTGGTAATCTTTCTTTCTTCAGCAAGATAACCCAAAATGCATCTCAAAATTGTGCAAGGTCTGGTAAACCAGTAACGTAAAAGACACATTGTCTTTCACGTGGCCTGCCCAGTCACCAGTTCTCAATTACAAAAATTTGTATTGGACCAACTATGAAGGTGTTTAGAGTGCAAAGCAACCCACAAGCAGCCAAAATGTCTGGGATCTGCAGCAGAAGTGCTGGGAAGGCATCAGGCAATTTCTGGCTGAAACTGAACCAAATGCATTATGCTTGTGAAGCTGTTATGGGGGCAAATGGGTCTTCGAAGTAATCCAAAATACCAAGAAACATTCTTGAACTCCTACATGCAATAACATTTAAAGGTGTATTTCCTGTAAAGACAAACAATCTGACCAGAAACACATACATAAATGTGTGAAATATTGCACTCATCTTTAGTGAATTTGAGCTAAGCATTTCTAAATTTAAGAGTACCTAGCACTTCCCCCAGATGAATCTGACCCTTGTAGAGGATAAGGAAAGTCCAGAAGACAGCGGCCATGTAAAAGATGATGTCCCGCAGAAAGGGACGGGAAGCTACCGTAAAGGGCTTGACAAGGGACACGCTACCAGCAACGATGGTGGTGACGAAGATCCCTGCTCCTGGGAGAAGGATGTCCCAAGGGAACAGATGAGACAAGGTGACAGGACGGCAAGGGAGAGAGAAAGGCTCATGGTGAAGAAAACAAAGACATTCCTTGTAATCCATTAAAGAAAGAAGAGCTGAGTGACTGCTGATTTATATCAGAAATTGGCTGGTTCACTACAGGCTATCTATATTCATGCTCCTCTTTCAACATAAGGTTACCTAACTGCGGAAGTGAAGTTGGATAAAAAGAGAAATGAGATTGCATAAATTCAGTTCAGTTAAAGAGAACAGATGAACAATCTCATTCTTTTAGTTATGCATAGGGAACTTTCACATTACACAAACTCCAGTGGCTTTCTGTCCACCCCAAAATTAGCAAGTTCAAACTCACCAAACAATGCCCCAATGGCCAATCCAGCAGTTTGGGGGCGAGAAAAGGCTGCCATAGCACTGAATACATCCGGAGCCCCATTGCCCAAAGCCAAAAACGTCACACCCTGGCCAGACAAAGGTCAAGAAACACTCAGCTTGTGTGAAACTAAACCTGTTACTAATAACATTCAAAAATCATGTGCAAGTTAATCAATTCAAAAAGTTTCGCAGACTGGAAATTTAAAACATCCATCAGCAAAATGTAATCTTATGTCAGTATGACTAAAACAGTATCCTTAGTGTTTGAATAAACACGGGGTCATTATGAATTATAACTGGACCATTAAAGAGATATACTGGTTGGTAAAATGTCCAGTATCATTTCTGTTATTGAGAGGTGGTGTATATGAAAACGGCATTTTATGAAAAGGATACAGCGACATTATGGGTCAGCTTCAAGGTAGCAGATATGGCAGATAGGTTGGGGCAGAAGCTACAGGAGGCAGAGTGAAGAAATGCCAGTCTGTCATGTTTCACTGAATATAGCACAAACCACTCAGAAATGCATGCCAATCAAGCTACATCTAACTGGACATATATTAAAGCAAAACCTCCCTCATATGAACTAAAAACGCTACAGCTCTGCTAACATACCATCTACACAGGAAATCTCAAATGAGCAACACCAGGTCTCCAATTTGAAAAGAACAAAATTAACAAGCAGACTTTAATAATGCAATTAAAACAATACACAGAGCTAATTTTGCACTGGACCATACTGTTGCAAACAAGTATGGCACATGACTGATTCTATACTTTGGCTAGAGATGAGTATTATGTGTTCACTGTGGTCCTTCACAGTTATTAGACTAAACCAAAAATACAGCAATAAAAAAAAACATCAAAATATCAACAAGTAAGTATAACTGCAAAAGATAAAACAGAAAAACAGGAGCTCCTTACAACTTAGATGCTGTGAGCCCAAGGACAATAAACAAGAAGAGAAGCCATAGAACCTGTGGAAAAAAGTACAGTATGTTTGACACACGAGACAGATAGACCAAAATGTGCAATGTGCCAAAATATACAATACAAATAGTTTCCGTTCTGGTAAATGACATCAGAAGACAGACTAGATACAGAGTCTGATAATTGCCTCAGGTGGCACACTTTAGTTTGGTCTGGGAATTGTGCTGTGGATATGATTCATTGTTAATTGTACTTTCCTGTATAACTATGGGTTGATATTTTTGCCACTAGAAACTGAATATGAATAGTGTATATTTGAATCTGCAGTTACCCCAACCTGCAGAACTGTCGTAAACGTGGAAATGAGTTGCGTTGTGAACCTGCGGTTGATTACTTTTCCTCAAGGACCCGGATTGTGCGTCTCAATAAATTGAAATTGAATTTGCGAACTAAAATTGAATTGGGAGAAGTGAATTTGTAAGTAAAGAGCATCACAATTTCCAGGTAGGATAAATGCAGTTTCAAGTTATTAGAATTCATATTCAAACTAATAAATTCAGATTCAGTTTTTTAATGCAACAACTGAAGATTCAAATATACACTATTCATATTCAGTTTCTATTGGCACAAATATCAGCCCATATATAACAGCCTCTCGGTGGGGGGGCTAAGTATACTAACTTTTGTTACAACTACTTTATGTATAGTGATTTGTTTTGGCAAATTCACTTAAAATAGCGTAATTAGACAGTTAATATTAGCAAACTGGTAGTATTATCATACACTGAAAGGACTTAAACATTGTTTTTTAGCATACCACAAGGACATCTTTAGGAATCATGTTAACATTAAGTATATCTTGTAAACAATCCTGGAGAGATACTTACATAGAAGAAGATCGCTAATGGAAGGAGGTTGGTTGGAAAGAGGCAGAATGCTGTCTCCAAATAGTTTAAAAAACCACCATCCTGGTTGCAGTCAGGAGTATTCCGGATGAAAAAACACCGCTGGCTCTCATTCAAGCGCATAACCAGGTGGCACTGTGGACACAGCGGCAATCACACAGTGCTATGAAAGCAAATCCCGAAGCTATCAACAGGGGAAACAGGAATTCATCTCATGAAACCATTTTGTCTGCATGAACGGTGGTGAACCATTTGAGCGCAATAAAAGTACTAAGCATATGGAGTAGGTAAATCTTAAGAAGTACAAACTCCACAAAAAGCCAAACAGCAATAAACACAGCATAGGATCCACTGTGCCATAAGATTGGCACTTACTTCCTCAGTGAGTCCTTTGAGATGCATCGTGAATATTTGCGCCTGAGACAATCAGGCCATTGGGGTCACTGATCGTATTTAGGAAGTAAGTTGTCAAGAGTAGCACGCTGGACTGGAGCTGGACATACTGAAAAAAAAATCACAGTCGTTACTATCATATAAACAATTTTATTGTTATTTATCAGCAAGCCCATTTCTATTCTGAATTAAGTGCAGGGTGACCATATTTTTCATAGTAAAAAGAGGACACTGGTGCAGGAAGCAAAGAATGGCGTCAAAGTAACGCAAATATGTACATAGAACGTATTGCAACAGTAGAAAACGAATGTAACACGCAACAAAGCGAAATCCCCTACATTTCAGGTATTAAGTCTCAAAAAAGTGGAAGAAAAAGATGACGTATGGTCTTCTGTTTTTATTCTCATAAAAAGGAAATTTTGTGAGTTATACAAGTTATACTGCACCAAAATTTCGTATATTGCAGTACCCTCCGTGGCAAGCTTCTTGAGATACAAGAAGCAGTCTGCATTACAAATCGTCAAAATAAATTTGTAGAGTTTACATGCTCACCAAACAAGCCCTCGAAAACGGAGAAAACCAGCTAACTTCAAAAAGATTTAACACTCCTCAGGCTTTAAAACTCCCTGTTGCTAAATCCACGCGAATACAAGGGTATGTTATCCAGAACCTTTAGGCCTGCATTTTTTTTCAACTAACCAGAAATATGTCGCGACAAAATAAAACTGTACCTTCGGCGTATTTAAATGCACCAAATTTTTGCCAACGATATTTCTTTCACGTTCCGTAAGTGGCTAAATAAAGTAGCAGTAACTAGGGACAAACATCGGACTTGATTTGGCCACTTCCTAACAAGTCACGTTGACGGGCTGCGTACCTCCTTCTTAAAGGGGACGGTCACTATTCGGGCTTCCCGTGAGGGGGGAGGAATGTCGGCGATGCGCAAATAAATAGGGAGTGGTATACTTATTAAAACATGGTTTTCTAGTCTGGGCGCTCCGAACATTTTAAGTTTTTCACATCTTAGGGTGAAGATGGAGTAGCAATGCAACAATGTAAACAGCTTGCTTGTAAACCAAATGCAAAAGTATCACACAGCACATATACAAAAACAGACACACATTATGGTAAAATCATTTAAATTTTAAAAGATCGGTCTTCATTCAGATTTTCCATGGGGACTCAATGGGTAACTCACATCTCCAGGGTTGGAATATTTGTCTAGCAGTTAACCAACCTCAGTCACAGAGTATGGCTGTGTGTGATTCCTGACTGAGTGGAAACCAGTAGTTAGAAAATGGTTGGATAAACTTCTCAGACACTCTAAGGGAGTAATCTATTTTTCAGTGTGACTAAAGCAGTTTGTGTAGTCCTCCCTGAATAATAAAATATTAATATAATATTAATATTGAAAAAATCTTTTTAAAATATTAGAAATTCAAAAATAATCACATACCGGTCTTTAACATCTTTAATAAGCAGCATTAAAACAATTTAATACCAGCCCTAATTAACTATAAAATATCCGTACAGGGCTGATTTAGGCGTATAAGGACCCTTCATTTGTCCACCTACATTTGTTAACAGCTTTATTAGAAGTCATTATGTGTTAAGAGGAATAAGGAATAAGGGACCAAAAAATCAATGACTTACGTCATATTCATCTTTTTTACCTACCAAAGAAATTCACCAGCATTTATAACAGGAAAACAAAAAAAGCATTTGGATTTAATTTTACAATTTTTTTTCTTCCATTTTTGGTGCAATGCTATATGAATATCTCATGAATACAGAACTTTGGTAGTATAGGGACCCCACATTCATGTGATCACAGGTTCAGCCAAGTGCTGTTCAGGGTCCTGGCATCCCTTCATACACCAAAGCTGTGTCTGCAGCTGGGCTCTCTGAGTCATAGCAGCCGTTCTGTTCCTTGGTGGCCACGCAGCAGAGGTCCTGTTCACACCACCTGTGGTAGTAATGAGAGATTGCTGTGACCATTTCCTTTAACACAAAGGGGCAACACAGTATCAATAATGCTCTGCTGATGAAAAACAGTAATCGAACCAGGTGCATCAATTCAAGTCTAACTCAAGAAGGTCTTCAATATATCAGGTCATGTCCATCTCCACGATGGGCAGTTCCAAATATCTAATTCTGATATCAAGCAAAACATTTTACTATACACTAACTGTATACTTAAAAATCCATCCATCCACCCACCAGACACTTATGTTGGGCAGGGTAACAGTGGGACCTGAAACATAACCCAGGAAGCCTAGTCCTGCCTTAAAGATATAATATGTAATAATTAATGAATCGTTAGATGAAGCAGGTAAGTAGTTACATGGGGATTACCTGAGAGTAGCGTAAATGTCTGTTTGGCTTGCTCCCTCCCATGCAGCTTGATCCACCATTAGGGCCCCTAGGCAGGTAAAAACAAGAAAGGTTAGGTGGCTGAAATCGGTTCAGCAGTTAATTTTTCAGGACTTACCCATATAGATGCGTGCTATGCTGAAAGCGAGATCTCGAGCTGCTAGTTCAGTGTAGCTGGGGAGCCTCTGAGTAGAGGTCTGCACAAAACTCCCCAGCCTAATAAGGGCACCATCTATGGCTGTCACTGCAGGACGCAAAGCACTTTTTCCTTTGGCTGTCCTTAGCTTTTCCTGAACAAAACATAAGATGGATAGAGGACAAAAGTCAACATCTTACAGTCAACCACTTCAGTTAATGTTCCAAATTGCAATGGAAAGGACTACATCATAAAGCATTTAGTACTTATGCATAGTTTTCTGATATTACTATTGCAGCATCCAAATAAACAGTCAAGAAAGTGACCACAAAAAATAATCAATATCATGTTTTTGTAACGCAAAGTATACTTCCTTCCTCTCACCTTGACATCAGTAAAGAAGGCCTCCAGCACCTGCCCATGACTCTTGATCATACATCGAAGTACATCCAGTGACAGGATATTGGTGGTTCCCTCCCAGATAGTCAGCACCTCAGGGGAAAGGAGAGACAACAGACAGGATAACACTATGCACAGCAGACAAAACAACAGCTGTTTCCTTTGTTGTTCACCAAAATCCCATGTAAACTTTCAAATGACAGAACATACTTGTGCATCCCGTAGCATTGTGGGTAATCCAGTGTCCTCCATGTATCCCTGGCCCCCAAAACACTCCAATCCCTCAGACACCACAGACACAGCCTAAGGAGCAAAGAAATATGCTGGCATAATGCAGGTAAAGTGAAATAATAATAAAAGAAATAGTAACAAATACTTTCCCAAGAAGCTAATTATTTTGCTATAAGTTGAAAGAATCCCATGAAGTGCTGGGAGGGACCTGCTGCCATGCTCACCTGTTTTCCTGTGTACAGTTTGGCCACCGGTGTGAGAAGGCGAAGCAGGTGAAGCTCAAGAGGTGAAGCTAAGCCGTTCTCTTCTCTGCCCAGCAGCCGACACACTTCCATCATCAGCAGAAAGGCAGCGCGGGTCTCCACCTACAAATTCAAAACAAGGCAAAGATAGTGACCAGAATGCAAGGCAGACTTCCCCTAAAAACAAACCAAAAGTATATATTGAAAACTAAGACTTGAAAACTGAGCTGTGGTAAATGAGACTGGCTTTTAGAGTATCATTAAAATAAAAGTTGAATTACAGAAGGGTCAGATATTGTGATGTGGTCATTCTGTCAAAGTCAATTTATAGGAAAGTCAAAAGTCTTATGACAGAAGGGGAATGCCTGTAGCAGGTTTAGGAGCAGGTACGACAGCTGCCACCTCCATCCTCGCCATGGTCTGTACATGCAAGGAGTGCTCCTTAAGGAACTTCCCAAAGACAAAGCGTTTTTTGGCATATTCCCTGCCCAGCTGGATGATCCTGAGGGGAATGGAAAAACACCTGGAATTCACAGTGGATCCCCGCCCTACTGGGCATTGGAGGGCTGTGTGCAGTTCAAACATTTACTGGAAGTCATTCCAGGGCTAACATAGTAAATCTGCAATTGTGCCTCTCATTAACAACTAACAATTGCAGTTTATACTTCAATATTTGAATTATGCATTACTTGTGTAGTTGCTACCAGTGAATCATGGGTGTTATAGCTAAAGGATGTAGCAGAATGTGAAACAGTACCTCCTCATGGCAGCTACAGCAGAAACAGTGTTATGGATGCGGGTGATCGTGAGCATGCTGGCTATCGATGCCACTCCTCTGCCCTCAGCTGAGATCTGGTACAGAGGTTGAGGTCAAAGCATTGATGGAGACAATAGGAGTTTACTACTGTGAGATCAAGCTTAAAAACATTACTTAGTCCAGATCATTAAGGCCTGTATAGCAGAGAAAAGGAAATGGCATTGCAACAGCAGGATACTGTGTTTAAATGGTCAGATTCCTAAAGGTAATAACAATACCATATTTTCTCAAATAAAAACCAGGATTCAATTAAAAGCTGTGTCGCAGATAATAGCCAGGGGTGTAAATAAAGGCCAGTCCCCAAATACAGGTCGGGAACAAATACCAAAGGTGGATAACTGCTGGGGCCTCATTTATAAAGATTTCACAAGAATGAATTACAGAAGAAATACTGCACACACATTTATGTAAAGATTTTGAAATTTATAAAGTAACAAAATAAATACAATCGACCCTTCTGCATCACAACTTTCCCCATTGTGGTACCGATATATTAACAGGTCGACATAGGAAATTAAATGGGAATATTTTAAAGTTTTGTGAAAGCTGCAAACGACACACAAAAAAGTTTAGTAACTTATAAATGCATAGAATATATATACAGTGGTACCTCAGAACTCGAACTTAATCCGTTCAGAACTCGGGTTAGAATCCTAAAAAGTTCGAGTTATGATCGAATTTTCCCCATAAGAAATAATGGAAAACCAATTAATTGGTTCCCAGCCCCATTTAAACACAAAATGAACAGGATAAAACAAGAAGAGCACATATTGTACATTTATCAAAACAGTCATTTGTTAAGTAACAAAACAAATGTATCTAAATAACGTGTAAAGTAAAAAAATTTTTTAAAAACATGTCCTGTCCCGATCATCCGCCCCTTCCGTGTGCCACACCCCCTCGTTACCTGGTGTGGAATCCTTGTGTGATCAGCTGTTTCTGGTTGTTGTCATTAGTCCTCTGTATTTAATCCGCATTTCAGTTCGTTTCCCCAGTCCGGTCATTGTATTGTCCGTCTACGTTTTGTCTGCCTTACCTGTAATTAAACCCCATATTCCCCGATACCCTGACGTCTGCGCCTTTGTCTCCATTCCGTCCCTGCTCGGCATGACAATATTATTATACTTAAATGTATTAATAAGAAATCTTAATTTTTAAATGCATTTTATTATATAATAATTACTGTTACTGTCTATCATTGTCTAAATCTATTTTTACTGACTAAATACATGTATTCAGCTAGTGTAAACATGCACGATGCTATCACAGCGAATGCGAGGCTGAGACTGAAGCGTTACCCTTTGTTTCCGCTGAGAGACGTGGTGTGTAACTCATTTCCCATGCATACAAGTTATCTTGGGTTGCCGTTCACGGTTCGACTTCTGAGATTCAGATCGCGTTCTAGGTCATTTTTTTTCGAACTGGTTGGTTCAACTTTTAAGAAATTCGAGTTCTAATGAGTTTGACTACTGAGGTACCACTGTATATAGTGCTGGTTTGGAGGACACAAATCATGTTTATGGCAGCCTCTCACATGATAACTACCAGAAAACTTTGTATCTTGCATTTCTTTGCTCTGCTGACATGCTTGCTTTGCTCACCAAGGGGACCAAAATTTTTATTTGGTTTTTCCAGATTGTGGGGAGCCTGCACCCCTAACCCCTGTGATGTGGAAGGGTCAACTGTAAAACATACCCTGAATAGGTTTGCACATGTACGAATGGTCCACAGCAGTTGTACAAATGTTTCAGAGGAAGCAAAAAAGCGACATCTAGAGTTCAGATTGTTACGTGCCGCTGTTTTTACTCCGCCTCCACATCCGAACTCCGCCCACAACCATGCCCACTCGGCCTGCCCTAGCTCCACCTCCACCTCCGGGCCCCGCCTTCGATTCCCGCACGTCATCGTCACTTCCGTCCGGCGAAGGATAACAGCCGGACAGAAACACACTTCGGGAGCTTAGCTCATTTTCTTGGTTTATTGTTGGATTGCTTTCTTTGGTTTGGATTACTCGTGTATGACATTTTGATTTCTTGGTTTACGATTCTTTGCCTTACCCCTTTTCTGTACTTTTGCCCGGTCTGCTTGATTTTCTGGTTATCGATCTTTTGCTTGTTTTTGGTTTACGTCTTAGCGCGCCCCTCAAACTTTGACGCTTTGCTGTATGTATGTTCTGTGTGATTGTTTGGTGCATAGGGAGTGATTGCCGGTTTTGGTTTGGAACTTTTTGTGAATGCTTTTGGATAGGGAGTGAGGAGTAGCACTTGTTAGTTGGTTTTGCACTTAGTTAAGTTACAATTGGGTTGTGTTTGGTAGTTGGGTTTTTGTTTCTTATTTTGGCGATAATCACTCCTGAGTCTTTCTGCACCTAGACCATTTGTTCTGTGTCTGTCTTGCGTGAATAAAATATAAAAACTATAAAAATATCCCCTTTGTCCACGTGTGTTCCCTTGTGCACCACACCTTGTGTTTCCCTTGTTCCCCATTCCCCGTTCCCTTCCTCTGTTATGCCCTAACCCTAGACTAGGGTCGTAACAAGATAGAAATGTGCATCTAAGTTGCATTTACTCAATTTACATCAACTAACATTCAATATTTGTTTTATTGCTTTAAATGAATGGCTTAATATGTTTAATTTATGAAGGTAAGTTGCGATGTTGTTTATATGTAGGTAATATCCTGTTTTTCATTTCAGATTTTGTTTGCAACTAAATCTGATAGTTATTAGATATTAAACTGTGCTGTAAAACCAGAAATGTTTGTAGTAACTCATGAAATGTTTTGTTTTTATGTTGTGACACCTGGGTGTATTTACGGCAAACTCTGGTATGTGGTCATACTACACACAAGTTAAGTTGATTGTATGAATAATTTACATGCCAATGATGAAAAGTTAACTTTTATGAATATACATTTATAAGGCAATTACTGGTACTGTTAACCAGCTCTTATGATTCTGATAGCCTTGCAATATTGTAATCTGCCATTATACAGCTTGTTTTAAGACACTTTTCCAATAAATGTACCCAGGACGTCTTGTAGAGTTTAATGTGACGCAATGGTGGTGTTTGATTCAATCATATATAGGATTTGTATTAGCAGTGTAATGCAGTAACAGAGGGAATTAAATATAATGTCCTGCCTCTAATACAAGCCTGCCTCAAATAAAAGCATGTTACTTCTGCAGCTTAGGTAAATAAAGGCTCCAGCAACTATTTGAGGAAACATAGTATACATGGACAAGCAATTTAACCCAGACATATTATGCTACAACACAGTCTACTCGTCATGGATTAAAGATTTATTTTGAATCCTACCTTCTCTTGGTTTTCAGAATAACTTTTGATATTATGCAATTACGGGCAAGTGTGTGTGAGAGACAGACAGCAAACACTGGGATTACTGACCCTGTGAGCTGGGAAGCCATCCAGCAGCAACTCAGCTGTGGGCACCTGTCGTGTCCCCAACTTATCTTTCAGCCGCTGCACCTCAATGCCCTTCAGTTCCCCCTTCTCATCCCGCAGTGTTGCAAAAAACAGAGAAAGCCCTCTGCTGCCCTGGAAGAGAAGCATTTCATAGCCTCAAATAACCATTTTTATTCATGTGTAATAATAATAAAGAATAACCAGGGTTGGGAAAGTTACTTTTAAAATGTACTGCATTACAGATTACTGAATACATGCTCTAAAGTGTCATTTGGAACATATTCTGTAAGATTACTACAAGTTAGGTACCGTGATCTAAATGTTTAGGATTACTTTCCAAACTTGAACATAAATATAATGGATATGGAAGAGAAATAAATTCATTCAATTTCTTGGTTAATTTCAAATTTATGTTACATTCAAATGCTTGTACTTTATTTCAACTGAAAACTGAAAAACAGTTAACATGTAACTGCACAATAATTTGAAGGGCATCAATCATTTAAATTAGGGATGGGCCAATCCACATTTCCTGAGTTCCAAATCCGATTCCCATACACAACTACCAATACCGATAGATTCCAATACAACAGCTCTTTTTACATTAATATTTTAAGATGGTAAATACACTATATTGCTGAAAGTATTGAGTCACCTGCCTTTACACACACATGAACTTTAATGACATCCCATTCTTAATATATAGCCTTTAATATGGAGTTGGCCCACCCTTTGCAGCTATAACAGCTTCAACTCTTCTGGGAAGGCTGTCCACAAGGTTTAGGAGTATGTTTATGGAAATTTGTGACCATTCTGCCAGGAGAGCATTTATGAGGTTGGAGGAGAAGGCCTGGCTTGCAGTATCCCCTCTAATTCATCGCAAAGGTGTTCTATCGGGCTTAGGTCAGGGCTCTCTGCAGGCCAGTCAAGTTCCTCCACATCAAACTCGCTTATCCATGTCCTTATTGACCTTGCTTTGTGCACTGGTGCGCAGTCATGTTGGAACAGGAAGGGGCCATCGCCAAACTGTTCCCACAAAGTTGGGAGCATGAAATTGTCCAAAATGGCTTCACATGCTGCAGCATTAAGAGGTCCTTTCACTGGAACTAAGGGGCCAAGCACAACCCCTGAAAAACAACCCCACACCATAATCACCCCTCCAACAAACTTTACACTTGGCACAATGCAGTCAGGCAAGTACCGTTCTCTTAGCAACCACCAAACCCAGACTTGTCCATCGGATTGCCAGACAGAGAAGTGTGCGAGACAGAGTCCAGTGGCGGTGTGCTTTACACCACTGCTAGCAGCACAGAGGCTATATCGGGTCCCATGTCCCACTCTTACTAGTGTGAGGAAGTAATTAAAAGGCCAATTAGGATGTTGGGTTACATCTCTAGGTGTGTGGAGTTTAAGTCAAGGGAGGTGATGCTAAGATTATACAATTCCTTGGTAAGACCCCACCTAGAATATTGTGTGCAGGTTTGGTCACCATACCTTAAAAAGTACATTTCTACCTTGGAAAGGGTTCAAAGTAGGGCTACAAGAATGATTCCTGGTCTCCCAGGTTAGAGGACCAGAATCTGTTCAGCCTCAAGCAAAGGAGACTAAGGGGGAACATGATCCAAGTATAATAGATCTGGATACTGTTCAGCCAAATGGCTACTTCAATAGTAGTTTAAAGTTTGGAGGTCTGTAGCTAATGACTCTGCATACAGTTGGCAACTTCTGCACACTGTGCGCCTCAGCATGTGTTGTCCCCGCTCTGTGATTTTACGTGGTCTACCACTGAGTTGCTGTTGTTCCCAAATACTTCCACTATGTTATAATACCACTAACAGTTGACCGTGGAATATTTAGTAGCAAGGAAATTTCACAAATGGACTTATTGCACAGGTGGCATCCTATCACGGTAGAACAACTGAATTCCCTGAGTTCCTGAGAGTGACCCATTCTTTCAAAAATGTTTGTAGAAGTAGTCTGCATGCCTAGGTGCTTGATTTTATAAACCTATGGCTATGGTAGCAATTGACACACCTGATTTGGAGGGTTGTCCCAATACTTTTGCCAATATAGTGTCTGTGTGTGTGTATGTGTGTATATGGAACTCACATAGCATTGTAATGTTCCTATTTGTTTGAATGTGAAATATTAATGGAATTTCCACAAATTAACAGCATTATGTTGTGCAGGATTGGTCACTTCCGTTATTTAATCTCTTTGGTAAGTTAGTGCTTTTTTTCCCAACACTAGGGGCATGGATGACATCCCTAAATAAACTATGTGATACATACTGAATATCACAAATTTAGTGTTAAAAAATGTACCAAGTGAAACAAACTAATCTCTTGAGTGATCTACATATTTTTGAAAGGTAACTGTATATTGACTTTGTCAGTCTATATGTTAACTGCAATGGAATACAATTACTCATATTTTGTGACACCATCACATGTATTTTGTTACTTCAAAACACTGCAAATAACATTAGTTTTAATAGCAACAGGGTGACATATCTTAATATGATATGCTTTACACAATAAAATATATAACTTGATATTTTTATGAATTTTACTATATTTATAACAATACTATATGTTCCTAGGCCTTACTTTATGGTACAATCACATGACTCTAGCTATGACAGAACTATGTAATTTGGATTTTGCTCATTTCTGGAACTGCAAAACTTAAACTGCAAATATTTAATTGCTCCTGATACTCAGTTAATTTAGAATTTTAAAATATATTATTATTACGATTATTGGTGCTTTTTAGAAGAAAGCATCGCTAAGTAATATCTCGCATTTTAGCTCTATATAAAAAGTTATGTTTGAGTTTTGTGGAGTATAGAATTAGAGATTTTATAAAAAAAAACTAGAAAAATGCATGCAGTTTGCAACCTTATGTATTCAAACAGCATGAACCAGTTGCTTAAAAACTATGCATACTGTTGCCATATGAGTGTTATGTGGCGATGAATGACATGTGATGCACACTGACCTGTAGTGTGTGTCCCTCTGGGTCCGCCACTCTTGCGAGAGTGAGTGTCATGTTGGCATCAGTCGCTGAGGTGAACCATTTGTACCCATAAAGCTTGTAGGTCCCATCTGCTTGTTTATGAGCAATAGTCTCTGTCCCGCTACCTAAGGAAGGAAACATAAGTACTGCAGCTATAGCAAATCTGCAATTAGTTCCACCAAACACAGTTTAAAACTTGTGTTTGTCCCATCAGAATTTCAGCACTGAAAACTAACATGACACCCAATTCGTATTTAACAGCACTGGAAAAAAAACAGATTGCTGGATGATCGTACCCACATCCGAGCCACCCTTCCGCTCCGTCATCCACTGGCCGGACGTCCAGAACTGCTGAGGGTCACGAGAGGTCAAACGCTGAAATGCATTCTCTGTGATTTCAGTCATCCCTAGGGACTACAGAACAAAATATACAGTAAGACCCAGTGACATAGAAGTCATAACACCAGAAAAGTCAATGGACAAGCACCGTTACAGACGGTCACCTCAATCACTTTGGCTGCACCATCCGTCATCGCCAGTGGACAGGTATACAGTCCCGCCGAAGGAGAGTATAGGTATATTTTGGACATTTGATAAACACGACTGTAAAATACACCACATAATCATTTTATAACAAAATACAAAGTATTAACAGAATTACAAGCTACATGAAAGCAGAACTTTATTATGAAGTTGGTTTTACTACATTAATCGGATTGATTTGGTTGATCCATGATAATACCTCCACTCTCCATGTACCCTCTCATATCCTGCAGCTATAAGGCCCTCCTGGGCAGAGATCTCCTTCATGCGGTTCCAGGCGGGGCAGGTGAAAATCCGGTCCACTCGATGGCCCCATGCATCATACTGCTGAAGATGGGGTGGATTCTTTTCACATTGACGGCCAAGAGCATCAACTTCACTCACCAGCCTTTCTCCAAACCTAGCCAAGTCAGCTTTGATTGCATCCTTTACCTGAAGTGCACAAAGGTAAAGTGGTTTGAAATCATTGTTCCTGCTCCTTCAGCTCAGATAAATTCCCACAGCCTACAAAAATTAATCTCAGTTCAACTTTAGTTTGCCAACTCCTTGAGGTTTTCTCTTATTGTTACGCTGACTCAAAATAGTGCTGGCACATCTCCTTGGTGCTGTGTATATTTACAGTAGGTTATTGGGAAATGATAATCACATTTTAAATCCTGGTTACTGATTCGGGACAGACCTCAAATGGCAGGTTTCTTTTTAGGTACTTTTGCAGCAAAGCGTCTTCATAAAAAGGGTTACTGATCTGCGGTCTCTCCTGGAAGAAGCTGCCGATGGAGGACCTGAAGAAGATTGGCTGTTCTGCCGCTTCCCTATGCACTTCGAATGTCCTTGGCCGTCCCCGGACGCTGAACGCTGTGCTGCTACCAGAAAGGAGACGGCCACGTCCCGGGGAAGGTCGCAAACTGCGACCGACCCGCGGCAAGCTCGCAACGTAGGCTGCCATCAGGAGAGGTTACGATCAATTTAACCAGCTCACAAATTCTGCTCTGTAAAATTGAGAGGATAAATAAATAATAAACACACATGTTCTTCCGCCGCACCTTGGAATGAAAATATATGAAGTAGGTCAAAAGTCATCACGGAATGAAACACCATAATAGGTCTCTCGAGTCACACAACAGTCAACACACTGCAGGAAGCTTGTGGAAAATTCAGTATGAAATTAAAATTCATATTTTTAAATATAAGGAGTACTTTAAAAATCCTTAACTTGTTTTTATAACCTCACGCTATTCTTCCAGTATGTTTGGATTTCTAATTGCATTGCGTGAGACATATATTAAAATGCTACAACAACGCATAATCGCATGCATTTAGTAAATCGTTTTTACGATTTACTAAATGCATGCGATTATGCGTCGTTGTAATTACATTATTATTTTACAACTTTATACGCTTTACCTCCCTACCGTTAAAACCTCTCTTTTGCCACCTTCCTGCAACAAGGCATAGAGAGCAAAAACAAGGGTTAGGAAAGCGGTATTTCCGGTAATGCACATGGGAAGGTTTCAAAATAAAAGCGTCTCAGTAGGCAACAACATTTTTATGAACTAAGCATTTCATGAAAGCGGACCCCATGGATTGACAACCATGTCGCAACTACGTTTGATCTAAATCATTACAGGTGTCATAGAATGAAAACTGACTTTATCTCGACGCTGTTGAAGCGTGGTAAATTTGGTTTTATATTCGATATTCGTTTGATATTCGGATTTGCCTCCCCTATATCTTTGAAACAACACCACCAAAAATCACAAAAGTCACACTCTCTGTTTCAGGAGAAAATGCAGATTGTACTACAACATTGTATAGTGAGTGATATGTTCATTAATTATTGTAGTGACGAGGCATTTTCTGCGAAACTAATAAGCCAGCGTTGGAAGCGCAGCTTTTTGCTAGGGACCGTCTACAAAGTCTAAAGTGCATTCTGGAGAACCAAGCATTGCTGCTGGAGCTTTTCTGCTAAGATTTTTTAATACAAACATCTGTGAAATTTCAATAATTTCACATTCATACTAAACCAATTTCTCCCACTTCAGAGGTTGTAGTGGTTGTCAGAGGTGTTCCCTGACTTATTACAGGTGGAATTTTTCAGAAATATCTAACCATGAGTGTACAGTAATTCAATAAGTTTTTTGGAAAATTACTGTAAACCACACGAATGGATTTCTCTCACTTCAAAGGTTGTAGTGGATGGCAAAGGTGATCACTGACTTACTACAAGTGGAATTTCTCTGAAATATCCAACCATGAGTGTACAGTAATTCATTACTGAAATGATCTTGCAAATTAGGCCATGAAGTGTATATGTGACCAGAAAATGAACTCTGCAAATGAAGTAGGACAGGATAAAATATCTAACCAGTTGTCTTAACTGTAACAGAGAATGGAAAAATTACTGAGTTGGGGAGACTTCAAATGGTTGGTCAAGGTGAGAATAGTGGGCCTGAAAGCAAAACAATAAGGGCGAAGACTGGTGGCAAATAAAATCAATATCCAAAATGGATAAATTAGAAAAAAGTAGTGTGTCACAGAAATGACCTGGAGACAGAAATGTGGTTCAGAATCCCAGATCATCAAGGAAGTTTAATTTAAGAATGCAAATAATAATTATTATTATATAATATCAAGAATGATATGTTGTTTGTTGTTTGTTGTCTGTATTTAAACGGCAGGAGTATTAGGAATAAAATTCATGATTTAGAGGCTTTTATCTCATCGGACTCATGATATTATAGGAATAATGGAAACGTGGTTGAGAGAAAAGGATGGACAAGAATATAATATGGATGGTTACACGTTGTTCCGTAAGGACCGTTTAGGTAAGATGGGAGGTGGTGTTGCAGTATATGTAAAGGAAAACTTGCA